GCCTTCCCCTCCCTGCACTCTGACTCACTCTTCAAATATCAGCTGGGATAAACGTTTTCTCAGGGAGGTCCTCTCCACTTTTAGGAACACCATCCAGCCTCACAAATCATGACGTAAACACACACTCACCGACATGAGAGAGAAACATGAGTGAACTACTCAGGGTACAAACGCACTCCCATTATAACTTTTCGATCCATTGCACTTACCACATAAGTGATTATAATTTATATGTAGGATTATTTGATCAGTGCCTCTCATCTTGTACCAGACCGGAAGCTCTTTGGGGGCAGAGACCATGGCTAATTGCTTTTCACCAGAACAGAGCAGTTTTGGCACATCATGGTAGCTGCTGATAAATTTTTGTAGAGTGAATAAATGACCTCATTGAAACTCCTAATCATACGTGTGACTTTCCTTCCTCTCATCAGCCCCTTCTTGTTTTTACTTAGCTCCTTACCTAGTTCGGATTTCTTGGTGATTATTATAATTAGTTACAAATTACTCAAATGCTTCCCTCCATGCATCTTCCTGCCCAGTCCTCAGCAAGCTCACTGCCTGCTCCATTCTTGCACCCATCCTGTTAGGGAGAAAATTCACAAGCCAGGCCGTTTAGCAACACTGCAAATGCATTATTGCCTACCTCAAGTGTGTGCTAGCCAGTCTATTGCCTTTCTTTAGAGGGACTGCTCCCATTCCCTATTGGAGGGATCTTCGATATGGGCTTGGGTCCTACGACTTCTACTCAACTCTTAGATTCTACCTCACAAAGGATGAAAACAGGAATCACCAGCAAATGGACAAAAAGAACAGCAAGGTTTCAATATATCCTGTCACAGGAATTTCTTAAGTTGAGTAGAAAATGTGGCTTAAAGTAAGCCCTTAACACAAGAATGGAGACTCTTCTTTCTTGGCTGGATGAGAGACAGCAGGACCTACAACACAGAGCTACCTGATTTATTCACCCTGTCACAGGAGGGAAAGCAGAAGCAGGGGAGAAAGGGAGAATGACTTTCTGGCCTCACTGGCGACCCTTCCCCCTTCCCCCTTCCCCTTCCCCTGTCCCATAGTCAGAGCTTAGGTCAAGTACAACATCATATCATTTAGTTTTCTGTGTGGCCTTTATGATCAAGCACAGTGCTGTGTGCAGTGCAAGACTTTGTGAATAAAACTTAGTCTTTAATAAGTTAAATTTCCTAAAAGGCAAAATGCTTTATTGCATGATAACTTCCTTAATGTATCCTTCATCAGTTGAAGAAAATAAAAATCCTGAACACATGGTTTTGCTGAATAAAATGTAAATAAAACACAAATTTAAAAAGCTATATTTATTGAAATCAGTGTGTTGAAGAGATATCTGTACTCCCAGGTTTTTTGCAACATTATTCACAGTAGCAAAGACATGGAATCAAGAAGTGTCCGTCAACAGAGGAATAAAGAAAACATGAATGTGTACACGATGAAGTACTATTCAGCCTTAAAAAAGGGCAGAAATTCTATACTTTGCTACAACATGGATGAGCCTGGAGGACATCATCTTAAGTAAAATAAGCCAGGCACAGAAAGACAAATACTGGTTGATCTCACTTATATGTGGAATCTAAAATTGTTGAACTTATAGAGCAGAGAGAACAATGATGGTTACCAGGAACTGGGAGAGAAAGGGGAGATGGTGATCAAAGCAGACAAATTTCCACTAGAAAGGAGAAGTAAGTTCAAAAAGGCCTATTGTGCAACATGGTGACTGTGGTTAATAACGCGTTGTGTACCTAAAAATTGTGGAAGAAGTAGATTTTAAGTGTTCTCAGCATATAAAAAGTAGGTGAAATAATACATATGTCAATTAGTTTGATTTAGCCATCCCATAATGTATACATATTTCAAAACCTCCTGTTGTACACAATAAATATATGTAATTTTTGTCAATTAAAATAGTTATATTTCATTGAATATTAATATTTGGTGTTCAAGACATATGTAGAATCTATGTTCAACACAAAGAACTGATCAAACCTTAAGCCTTTGCTTAAAAATGAAGATAAAATACAACTTGCAATTATATTTTTGTTGCTTATGATAATTTTGGAACATCTTTGCAATTTCTGGAGGAAAAGAACTATAAGCAAAAATAAGAAAATTTTTGCATTATCTTATTAAAGTCTGTCCTATTGTGACCTGATCACTATTTACTCTGTAACAGGTATTGTCAGTGAAAACATCTGACCTTTTGGGAATGTGGAACACGAGTGTTTTCACCGTGACCATCACACTAATTTAGCACATGCCACCTTGATTCTAAAACGTTCTGGTTGAACATCTAAAACAGTCCATGACGTTTGTCTACCTTGAATAAATTGTTACCAGATCAAGGTAAATTTAATGGGATTTTACTTGCTAGTTAAAAGTGTATTTATCATCTTCTTTATTTGTACAATTTTTTTTCCCAGTCAGTCATCATGTTTCAAAACATTAAAGATAATCAAGGATAAACAGGATGGCAGAATTATTAACTTTTATATCCTTTTATCATTAGTTATGCGTTCAACAAAAACATTGCATATGTTTATGTAAAAATTCCATATGTATTTTGAATAGTGTTACTACCTCAGCATTCCCTAAACACTGAAACTTTGTGATCAGAAACTTCATGGCCCAAAGTCCTGAAGAAGAGACCACACCCCAGCTCCTTCCAAGGTAAGCTCCATGATTTAGGGCAAGTTATTTAACTTCTTTGTCCCTTACTTTCCTCATCTATGGAAGCCTTCATCAGAGTTTTGAGGTTTAAATAAGAATGTAAAATACTATTTTTCATCCAGATAGATTATAAGTTTATTAAGTAGAGGGACTATCACTAACCCACTCCCCCTGAACCTTTCTATCTCTCTTAACAAATAATGCCTGACATATAGTTGACACTCAATATTGGTTGAAATAAATGGAATCCATGAATGCATAAATAAACAAATGAGTGAATGCATTCAAGGAGAAATTTGGTATTCCACCCGCCCCCAACATTTATTAAATATCCGAGGCATTTAACTTGGAAGCTTTAATAGATGCCAAGTAGTATAAGACAGATACCTCAAATGATAGCTTCAAATTATTTGTGGCCTCTCAGCATATTCCTTCCCCCTTCCCCCTGGCCACAGTCCCTTCTCCTATCCTTTGGAGAACTGCCCATCTCCATGCTACTGTACCCTGTACCCTGGTCACAGGGGTAGGCATGAGGCTTAGCCAAGAAAATCAGATTTGAATCTTGAGCTGAGGCGCATGGAAACAAAGGCAGTTGAGGCTGAGTCACCTGATGGCAACACCTGAGGCTGCTCCATGAATTGTCACTGCTCGGGTCCCTATAGCTGCCCTAGTTCCCACCCTTCCTGGGTCTAGTTCATCTGTTTCTCCAATTTTCTATGCCACCCAGTTACTTGTGCTTGCAGTAAGTCAATCCTGTGCAGTAAAATAGTGCATTACTTATTTATAAAATCAGCACATACACATGAAAAAGCAGTAAATGTAAAAATGCACACATAAACATGTATGATATGTGTGAGATATTTTTTTTGAAAATTATTGTATCATTGAAGTATATTTTACAAAGGAAATTATAAGATTTTCTCTCTCCCTCCCTCTCCCCCCCCCTCTCTCATTTCTAAGGCCCAATTATACCAAGTAGTTAATTGTTCCCTCGTTCAATAAGGTCCCTGCCTTGAGGGATTAATACCCAAAGGAAGACCAAGGTGTTTTAAAAACCTCCTGTGTTTGGGAATTATTGCAGTTCCTGGAGTCAGAAGGGAAATTACTATATGGTAGCTGCAGCACATTTAGATTTGTGGCATTCTATTTGAAAGTGATTGAAAAAGAGAAGAAGTCAGGACACCTAATTGCAAACTGTAGGTTCATGGGGATTTGGTCAGGGGAGGCTCTTTCCTTCGGCTGGGAAAGGAAAGGAAAACAACACTCAATAGCACCAGCCAGTTATGCTCCCTGTGTGCCACGTAAGTGCCCAAACTTTATCTTTCACTCTTTATCTCGGCTCTCACTCTGTCCCTCCCCTCATAATCACCAGGAAAAATAATAGACATATGATGCATAGACAGATAGATGGACAGATAGATATCGATAGGTTCTTAGACAATAGAATCCATGGGTCGATCTGTAATTCAAAGATGACAGTGTGTTGGAAAAGTTAAATGAAGTAGAAAAAGATATTGAAATTTTTCAAACTCTGAAACTTGGAAAGGAGTCTTTACAACCCCTACCCCTGTGCCTTCTTCTGCCACAAAATTAGGGTGTTGCTTTCCTTCGATCTGGTTAGACAATTACAGACTTTGGAGACTGAAATGGTGACTACCAGTTATTCATGTGTACTAGATTTAGGTGATTCTGGAAAATAAGGACAATTTTAGTGTAATTTACTATTCATGAAGAAATATGAAAGGTCCTCCTTTTGGCTAGTTTCTCATTGTTGACCCTCATACCCAGGGAGACAATGTGGGAAAGATGCTGTATCTGTTGTATGTGTGGCTCAGGGAGACAATGTGGGAAAGATGCTGTATCTGTTGTATGTGTGGCTTATATGCTCATAAATGATGGTTAGAGAGTTAGTGTAACTAAATTGTCTTAGGTGAATATAAAACATTTAGATGACAACTTAGTATAAAGATATCAAGTCCTTATATTTATCCCTTTAGAATTACAAAGTAGCATTTAGAATTAATGCAATTTAGTGGTGTATATGAAGAGTGGGAGACAGGAGACCAGTCGTGTAAGGTGTCTTGGTGAGACTGTTACTGAGGGGCACCTGCACTCACCACCGCCCTGCAGAAAAACATCCAGTGCAGGGCACAGCAGGCAGATCAAGGCGACCCTGTCAGGAAGCACCACTCTGTAAACGCCCAGATCTTTGCTGCTTGTCCATTTCATTGATCTAAACACAGGTCATTTATATGCATGTTACATTTGATCACACTTTTTTCACAGACCCCAAGAGCTGATTCCTTATGAAAATGAGAAATGACACAATGGTGGCTGAGTTCATCCTGCTGGGAATCCCTGAGACAGAGGGCCTGGAGATGGCCCTCTTCTTCCTGTTCTCCTCCTTATACTTATGCATCCTCTTGGGGAACATGCTCATCCTTGCAGCGATCATCTCCTCCTCTCGGCTTCACACTCCCATGTACTTTTTCTTAGGAAACCTCTCCATCTTTGACCTGGGTTTCTCTTCCACAACTGCCCCCAAGATGCTGCTCTACCTCTCAGGGAACAGCCGAGCCATCTCCTATGCAGGCTGCATGTCCCAGCTCTTCTTCTACCATTTCCTGGGCTGCACCGAGTGTTTCCTGTACACGGTGATGGCCTGTGACCGCTTTGTTGCCATATGTTTTCCTTTGAGATACGCTGTCGTCATGAACCACAGGGTGTGCTCTATCTTGGCCACAGGGACCTGGATGGGGGGCTGTGTCCACGCCGTCATCCTAACCTCCCTCACCTTCCAGTTACCCTACTGCGGCTCCAACAAGGTGGGCTATTACTTCTGTGATATGCCTGCGGTGTTACCTCTGGCCTGTGAGGACACATCTCTAGCCCAGAGAGTAAGTTTTGTGAATGTTGGTCTTTTGTCCCTCATTTGCTTTTTTCTCATCCTTGTTTCCTACGCTTGCATTGGAATCTCCATAGCAAAACTCCGCTCAGCAGAGGGCAGGCAGCGGGCATGCTCCACCTGCAGCGCCCACCTCACTGCGATTCTTTGTACTTATGGGCCCGTGATCATCATCTACCTGCAACCCAACCCCCGTCCCCTCCTCGGTGCTGTTATTCAGATATCGAATAATCTTGTAACCCCCACATTGAACCCTCTGATCTACAGCCTGAGGAATAAGGATGTAAAATCAGCCCTGAGGAATGTATTTCTCAAGAGAGGCTGCAATCCGGAGAATAAATGAGAAAATCTGAAGCTTTGATGGACAAGTTTGATTCTCTGTTTCTTAGAACAAATTCTCATCTGCAGCTTCGAAGACATGTTGAAATGAAATGTACTCTTTTTTTTTAACTTTTCTCACATTTATTCATGATATGGCATTTTCTGTTTCTAATGCAAATCCTGTGAATTTTGCTCACAGAAAAGATTATTTTTTAAAAGATAATTTATTATACATATATGTATTCTGAAACAGTCTACCACTTAACCTTGTTGTTTTAAAATATATGTCTATTTTTATATTTCCCTATGTTTTATAATGAAATGTAAGAGTCACTTAGCAGACATTGCACTGGTTTTTATGCTGAGTGGATTCTCTCTCAGCACCACTATCATCCCCAAATCATTTCTTAGCTCTTTAAATATTTTAAAGAGTTAAGAGAGCACATTTGCTTTGTCATCATCAGTTAAAAGTGCATTCATATATATCCAGAGAGAAAAGGAATGAAAGAAAAAAATTCAACAAAGCCTAGCTTCATCCAGAATATCAGAGCTCTATGTCTTTTCTTTTTATAGAGTATAACCTCCAATTTTCTACCAATCAACACCAAAATTCAAACTAACTTTAGTAATATTTAAGATAAGACCACTCTAGTATGCAGTCTTGTGTGATTTTAAGATTTTTCTAGTGTGAAGATTCCTTTGGGATCTGCGTATTTCCCTTGCATAATTAGACTCCTGAAAGGCTGTGAACCTGGGTTATTTATCATTAGCCACCAAAAGAATCAGCTTCAGTTTTGTAAAATGTGGTCAAAAATGACAACAACAAAAAGACAAGTTTAAATATGTTACTACATTTTTTTTTCAAAAAAAAAGTAACATTGATTTACCTCTATGTCCATCATAAAGAGCCCATGTTAGAATTTTTGTTTAATTTCAGGGAGCAATATCAATTTGCCTCCCTATGGGAAAGATTTTTTTGTTGTTTTTGTTTTGCTTTCTCATAATAAGATATACACAACTTTCTTTGCTTCCTATAATCTTTATTTTTCATAACACTGAGGGTAAACATAGGCAAATTTTATTTACAGAAACTATGTTAAATTATATAATGAACATATTTCCATGTTTCTTTTCCTGGTTTCGTTTTCTCATATATCTATATCTATATCTATATATATATTCTACCTACCAGGTGCTCATGGCTTCAAGTGTAAGCCACATTGAGTTCTTTTTGAAAAGAAGCAGAAGATAAATAATGGAAAGAAAGAAAGAAAGAAAGAAAGAGCAAGCGAGCTGTATTTTAGAAGTAAAATGGCACTTCATACTGGAATGATTATTACCTTCCTTCTCTTACCTTCAGTTCCTGTCTGTCAACACAAGTGACTGAAAATCAGTTCTGCAGGTGGAAGCTATAAGCCATCACAGTGGCTTCGGCAGCAGCACATGCCAGTCACCAGTGATTTGTAGAGTGCTGTTTAAGAATCTCTAACATGAGACACTGTAATCATATCTCACACAGTAGTCCCTCCAGCTAGAAATCAAATAGACACTAGTCCAACTTCAAGAAAACTTAGTGCCTTGGGTTGAATGTCCCCCCCAAACTTAATCCCCACTGTAACTGTTGAGGGTGGGAAATCCTGTCATGGTAATTGAAAAGGTGGGACCTTGAAGAGGTGATTAGATTTAGGTCAATTTCATTACTTACAAATTACCCAGTTCTGTGTATTTTGTTATAAGCAGCGGAAATGGACTAATGCACTAGAGACACCAAAGTTCCTTTCAGATAAGCAACAAGTGGATTGAAACGTTGATCATATCAAGTGTTAAACAACAGAATGTAAGTAATGGCTGCATTTCCCTTCTTCTCTTCAATATAAACATCAAAAAATGTAATAACTATCCATTATAGCAAGGTTGTTTTCTTTTTAAATGCTCTGTTAACTGGGAAACACAACAATCACTCCTGTCTTAAACACCCAGGCTTCTTTTTCTGTACTTTCCTTTTATGAGACTGACGCGCTACCTACTGCGCAAACAAGGCACCTTGTACTTCCCAAATGCTGAAGTAGGCACGTGTCTCACAACCTTCACGATCTGTTCTTTAAACACACACACACACACACACACACACGCACACACTTTTGCTTTAAGCATTTTATCGGTTATCACTACAAAGAAACAGATGGCAATACTAAAAAAGTAAAGGTCCGTAAAGTTACAATAGTTTAGAAAATCTCTATGAATTTCACCCTAACAATTTGCCCCTCATGTGTATTAAAATGTGATTCCAGCTAGTCCTGTTTTTCTCCTCTCTCCCAATTACTTCACTTTTCATTGAAAGGTCAGGTTTACAAGCTAAGAGCCTGAATTCAGAAATTTCCTTAATTAATGGCAGAATCCAAAATAGAATCCACATCTTCTGATTTGCAGTTGAGTTCTCATTCTGCTTCACAAACTTACAATGCCAGCTGAGAAACTTACCGGTAATCTTGATGCTACATAGTTTTAATTAATCTCTGAGACAAGTCGTCATAACAATAAAAATACAAAATAAAAAATAACTCATCATTTTGTTGCAAGACGGCATCTATATTGAATCAGAATTTTTATTTCTCCTAACATAAATTATTTTAAAAGCTTTTAAATATGAATACATTTAACACAAAAGAAATCATTTTCTGCTTTTCTCTTCTGATGAAGTACACCTAGAAATTCACCAAACTCAGTTTAATAAAGTTAGATACAATTTCAGATTTACAGAAAAGTTGAAAAAGTAATACAAAGAACCCAGGCATACCCTTTACGCAGATTCCCAAAATGTTATTACTATAGTATATTCACTTTATCCCCTCTTTTTCATTCTCTCTCTCTCCTTCCTCCTTTCTCATATATGTTTGTGTGCTTGTGTGTGTTTATATGTGTGTGTGTGGGGGGGGTGTTTTTAAACAGAGGAAGTTGTAGACATCAGGAGTGGCAGACATCTGCTCCTTTCCCCCATATATCTTACTTGGAGTATGTTTCCTAAAAACAAACACATCCCCTTATATAATTATAACAAAGTTATCAAAACCAGGAAATGAGCATTGATAACAATACCATTATCTGATCTATAGATGTTCTTTAGATTTTACTAAATAGTTCAATAATATTCTTTGTAGAAAAAAAAATTCCAGGATCATGTATTGCATAAAGTTATTTCTCTTTGCCAGGACTAACTCAGAAATGCTGTTGTGTTCTTCCCAGTACACCATATCAGGAGGCACTTGCTGTGGGTTTGTCCAGTGAGGTTAATTTTGATAGTTTGGTTAAGGTATTGTCTGCCAGATTGCTCAACTGCAGTTATTTTACCCTTCTAATTATTAGTGATCTTTTTTTTTGGAGGGAGAGGTACTTGACAATTATGTAAATATCCTGTTACTCCTAAATTTTTACCTGCTAGTTTTAGCATCCATGGATGATTCTTGCTTGAATCAATTATTATTATAATAGCTGCCAAATAATGATTTCCTAGTTTAATCATTCTTAGCACACTTACTTCCTACTATGATTATAACTTCCTATTGTACTTGGCTTCTTACTAATAATTATAACTAACAATTCTTACTAATAATTATAACTTCCTACTATACTTGGATTCCTACTATAAGGAAGAGATTTTCCTTTTCCCTGATTTATTTATATCAAAATTACATTCTAAAAAACCAAATAGATCATATGATATCTATTTTCTTGAGCTGGCAGCTACAATCATGGGCTAAGATGATCATACGAGGACGTGACCTCCCATTGGGGGAGGAACATCCCACTTTAGGAGAGGAAATGTAGAATATATCAAAGGAAGATCCTTCTACTGGAATGTACGACATCTAAGTTCTCTTCCAACTGTGACATACTACATCTGTTATTCCATATGGCTGCCTCATGACTGTAGAACAACTTGTCTGGCTGGGGAAATGGGAGTATGGATAGAGTAAGGAATGGCAAATGGGAGATTATCTTAAGACAGAAAGATTTTTCTCTTGGCATAAAATTCTTCCTGAATTATCCAACAAATAAAAAAAAAATCCTCTTTCACTTGCTTGGTGCCAAGCAGTTGCAAATATTACATTGAAATCCTAGGCAAGGACACCAGTCAAGCAAATAACAGGACTTATTTGTTTTAAGGATATAGAAGACAAGTGTCACAATCAGGATGTATTACAGAGAGATCAACATTTTTCTAGACAGAAGATACATGCTTCCTAGACCTAAATCTCACCATTGAACACAGGGCTGTCCATGATAATACAGAAATGAGTAAATTTACATCAGAGCCTCTAGAAACATTGTTGAATCCCTTCAGACCCAGACTAACACACATTAGAACATAAGGCTAGACCATTCCTGTATATATGTTTCCAACTACCTCAGCCTGGGGCAGATACACATCATCAAGGTACACAATATGGTTATAGGATAGAGTGCACAGTAAATTCAGACCATTACAAAGTCCTCAACCCTTGCTCTCAGACTCTGCAGTCCACGGTGTCTGCTGTGAGAACATTTCCGAACCAGGTGCCACAAATTTTAAAAGAAATAAATTTCCAGAGTTCTTGGGAGATCACATTAAGAATTCCATCATCTATCTCACTCAGCACTTAGTCTCAATCTATACTCTGACAGCGTCCAATGCTCTTTTGGAATTTCACATTTTCTACAAAACAAAAGTGTCCTATAATCTATACTAGCCAGATGTCCTGAAGTCAAATGGCCTGAAACCAGAAGACTTCTAAAACACGACAGCTTTGTCCATTAACATCTTAATATTAAATATTCATAGCAGATGCTATGGAATAACTTTGTCTAAAACACACTTAAATAGGCAAGAAACACTAAATGGAAAACCCCTAAACAGTTTTGGAAGATTCACAGGGATGGGCCCTAAGTAGTGGGTGATACAGTGTTATACAACCAAGCATAAGCAAGTCACCTCTGTAGAACACAGGAGATTTCAGCTGGGGAGAAATACAAAGCTATGAGCAT